GAATCTCTGTTGCTTCTGTGTTTTAAGAGGCATTTTAAAGCTTATTTAGGGCTTCTGGAGTGTCAGAAAACATAAATGAGAAAACTCAAAAGAGGTAGTTCCTTTAGTGTAAAAATGAAAGGACTATTACACAAAATTTACTCAAAATAAAAAAAGCATTTCCCCAAAGAACCCAAAATGGAAAAAATACAGTGGTGCCCCGCAAGACGAATTTAATTCTTTCCGCAGTTAATGTTGTCTTGCGAAAAATTCTTCTTGCGAAATGCGTTTTCCCATAGGAATGTATTGAAATCTAATTAATGTGTTCCTATGGGCAAAAAGAGACAGAACAAAGTCAAATTTGGTTTACAAATGATTTATTAAATGCTCTTTAAAGCCATACATATTGTGCAGATGATTTAAAAAATTTCAATCAAAAAACTAACTTTTTAAACATCATAGAAAAACATTTAAAAATCCGCAAACACGAGGCAGGAATTCCCCCATAGGGAACATCACAAAGCGATCGCTTTTGTGATCGCAAAAAATGCGTCGCAAAGCGATTTCATCGCTAAACATAGCGCTCGCTAAGCGAGGCACTACTGTACCTACTTCTCCAGTCTAAGGATCTTTTCTCATCATTTCTACTCACTCCTCCTCAGCTTTCTTTCTGTCACTCTTCACTTCTTCTCACCAATAACCAATTGCCCCTGCTCCTGTGGTTATACCTTTTCTACCAGAGCCTTCCCTTCCAACAGTTCTTTTCCCCTTGGCATTCTTTTTCTTTTACAGTTAACCCTTCCAGGTCCTTGACAACACTTTTTAGTCCTGTGAGTTTGTGCACATGCTTCTTACTTTCAGGTGTTGGAGGGGACAGCACACCAATACGGGGTGCCTCCTCGTGGTTCACCTTCTCAAACAAGCCAAGTCATGCAATTTGCTTCCAAATATCAAGCCATTTACATAACTGGCCAATAGGACTTCAGCCAGTATAGTGCTACTATGCCATGAGATCTTATTAGAATTAAAACCAGCGTGGATAAAAAATCATTTTAAAAAAATCAACTTAAAGCATGATTTAATTTTTTAATGATTTTTTAAATTTACACTGTGATTCACATCAACTTGATTTAACTCCAATCCAGCCTGTTTGATAGACTCAAATAGATACTAGGAAAAATAGAAGTGTACCAGAAAGTGCCAGGATGGAATAAAGAAGAATATTTTCTCCAACTCCCCACCTCTGGTTGCCTGGCTACTTCCTTACATTTTTTTTCACTGTGTTGCCCAGGCCCAGAGAGTATATTCAGATAGGCAGATATCACTGAACTCATATTGTTCTCTTTTCTATTTTTGGAGTGTTTTACTGTTTTCTGAATTGGTTGGTTGGGTAAGAAAGATATTTTTTGTAGAAGTCTACTGACATTTTTTTTCTTTCCCAGGTAGTACTGCTGCCTATTTTTCAAGTACAATGAATCTCTGTTGCTTCTGTGTTTTAAGAGGCATTTTAAAGCTTATTTAGGGCTTCTGGAGTGTCAGAAAACATAAATGAGAAAACTCAAAAGAGGTAGTTCCTTTAGTGTAAAAATGAAAGGACTATTACACAAAATTTACTCAAAATAAAAAAAGCATTTCCCCAAAGAACCCAAAATGGAAAAAATACAGTGGTGCCCCGCAAGACGAATTTAATTCTTTCCGCAGTTAATGTTGTCTTGCGAAAAATTCTTCTTGCGAAATGCGTTTTCCCATAGGAATGTATTGAAATCTAATTAATGTGTTCCTATGGGCAAAAAGAGACAGAACAAAGTCAAATTTGGTTTACAAATGATTTATTAAATGCTCTTTAAAGCCATACATATTGTGCAGATGATTTAAAAAATTTCAATCAAAAAACTAACTTTTTAAACATCATAGAAAAACATTTAAAAATCCGCAAACACGAGGCAGGAACAAAAAATGGAAAACACTCTTCTTGCGAAGCATGGCCATAGGACCATTTGTCTTGCTAGTCATCAACCCCATTACCAAAACCATTTGTCTTGCGAGTTTTTTGTCCTGCGAGGCACCACTGTACAAAAAAACTGTGCACTGCTTAGATAGCACTCACAATGGAACAAACATTCTTAGCATCCATACAGTTACCCACGTGAAGTAACAATTACTTGCTGGCAAGCTGCTCTCCAATCTTGTTACAAGAGATGCCAACACCCTGTAACTACCCTACAACATTTGATTTGTTGGAACAATTAAAAGCCTTCTGCTCACCTAACGAGATGATCCTGCTTAATCAGGTTTTTTTTTAAGAAGTTAACTTTAAATCTTCATTAAAAATGTAGATATCAAGTCCTTTCTTGATACAAATATATCTCTCCCATCCCCACAGTTTCTAACAGAAGGCAGAGCCTCTACTGAACTTGTATTTGTTATGGCACACAGTCAAATCTCAACACCAAATTTGGCCATTTTTCAGAACTACTATTTCATTCGTATTAAAACTGTACATATATAATTACATCACCAAAAAATTATAAGTGCTTTATGTTTTCCTGAATACAGCTTAGTACATAGTCTCTAAAGTGCTGCTAAATAACGCTCGGCTCTGCAGTGCTATAGAAACTATACATACATTCTTCCCCTTCCTGTGTCAATCATAGGTAGCACAAAAACTTTTCAATGTAGGAGAGATTCAGGCCTTGGCTTCCCAATGAGTCAGCCTTGGTCTAAGTAAAAATATTCTTAGCCAGTTAGTCTTTCCAGTAACAAAACTCTCTGAGAAACACATAATCCGAGCCTAACAATCTTCTCAAATTTTTGTTCTGAAGGGTTGCTAGCAAACAGAGTGTGTGTGTGGGGGGGGGGGACCAGAGCACGCCAGGCCCTCTTATCTTCCACTGCCTCCCGGAGTTGTGTCAAATTCATGTTGATTGCCCTTATTTATATGTTCATGGCAAGGATTTTCTCAATATTAACCACAATTGTTGCTTCACTCTTTTGTGGCATAATAGTGTAAAAGACTTTAACTATACTATTTTGAGGTATAAGTTCCAGAGAGTGTCTTTAGCCAGAAGAAGAAGAAGAAGAAGAAGAAGAAAAGAAGAAGAATATACTGCCCATGATTTATAGAAAAAGGCAAAACACAACGTTTTCAATTTTAAAAAGAAAAATCCCAGTGAAAAGTTACAAGTTTTTTTTTTACTAAATATTAAAGTACTGCATAAAATTGAATCAGGAATAAATCTCAGAGTGGGGACACCAGCAAGGGACTCAAACTGATCTTTAAAAGCTACAGAAAAAAACAGCCTGATATAAATACCACCAAAAAAGAGGAAGCACACTCCATAAGAATTCAGTAGGCTGTTAAAAATTGGCTAGAACCCAAATTCACAGCTGCAGGTAAAAGCAGCAGGTGACATCATAATTATCCTCTTGGAAAATCTAGTAACTAAGTGACAGTGAAGAATTTCTGGAAAGACAAATTTCTTTCCAGAAAAATCACATTCCTGACACCTTACGTTTAGGACACTTGGGGAACAATCTAATGCAAATAAAGTTATTCCCAAGCATATGCAGAACCACCGCAGCTGCTGCCCTCAGCTGTCTTTTGTACAGGCGTATTTCACAATGAAGCCTGGGATGGAAAGTGTTGAACACTTTCTAACATACAAATCAAGAAGTGTCTATTTAGTATGATGATATACCAAAGTGCACTGCAGGTTTCCCCAACTTCATCCCCTCCAGATGTTTTTCATTAATGTCCAGAATTTCAGGCTGTTAGTTGTGCTGGCTGGGGGTGATGGAAATGAATACAGAAAATACCCCTGGGTTGAAAAAAGCTAATACGTTACTTTGAAATTGACATCAGAGTTGTTTTCATATACAGCTTGCACACAAATCAGAAGCATTACAAGCAAGAAGAATTAACTTATGTCCATGGTTCTAACTAGCACATCTCTACTCGGAGAAAGTGAATATGCTGGGCTCACATACGGTATTTCTTCACTTAATACATTAACTCACAACTAATTTAGCTACCCAATAAGAGATAAGTGATGCTTATTCTAACTTTCAAAGAAGTAAATGTTTCTCAGTTTTAAAAATTTATACACAAAGCCGCCCAGAGACCTTTGGGTAGAGTGAGCGGCATACAAGTTAAATAAATAAGTGAATAAATGAATAAATTAATAATTCTTCTTTCAGGCAATTTATTTATTTGTTGATTGATTTGATTTGTATCCTGCCCATCTGGTCTATTAATAAATAATTCTTTCAGGCAATTTATTTATTTATTTATTTGATTTGATTTGTATCCCGCCCATCTGATCTATACGACCACTCTGAGCGGCTATTTAGAATCCAGACCAGAATTACATTTCAGAAATGCTTTACAAAAATATACTTGTATATTCATCTCACTTAAACTAACATTCTTTAACTTGACACAACCTAGAACTGGATTATTAGAAGTTCTGCTTCACAAAGCCTTACTGGGCAAAATCTACTTAGCGGGTCATGATAGGTTTACACATGTAGGAGCTGAGATACCCAAGAGGATAAGCAGATACAGTACGCTTACTGCAACAGAAATAAAATGATCCCAGTGTTCTTAGGGTACACCAGTGAGCCTGATGACCGACAAAGGATCTTCAAGGCAATAGAGTGGATGGACATGTCCCTAACTTATTTTTCTGAATTACTGTACTTACATAATGCCCCCCTTCTCAAGTGACTGCTGGGGCTCTCAGGACGGAGAGACAACTTACTCCAACTGCTCTACCGCACCAGAAAGATCCATCGTTCTTGATTACGGAAAAGAGCAAGCTTAGTCCTAGGAAGTGGATCACGACACCCAGGAGACAAACCTCCGACTCAGAAATAAACGGGACCATTCGGGGATGGATGGGTGTGTGTGTGAGGAGAGAGAGAGAGAGAGAGAGACAAGCCGGCCTCCTTGCTCTGCCTCCCCTCCCCGACCCTCACCCTCACCGGGCCGGGAAGTCAGTCCGGCGAGGACCGCCTCTTACCGTGACTGTCCTTCTGGCCGATGCCCTGTGTGCGGATCAGAGCCGACAGCCGCCGGACGTCTCCCTTGAAGACACACTCGTGCACCGGGAACTGGGCCGCCGGGCCCTTGTCAGGCTCGGATCCGGCGGCGGGGGAAGAGCCCCCGGGCCCTCCCTTGAGGGGCAGCCGGTGGTGGTTGGTGAAGATGCGGTGGCTCCCTGCGCGGCCGCCCTTGCCGCTCCCCGCCCGGCCTCCGGGGCGGGCGAGCCTCGGAGCCGGGTGGGCCTCTTCGGAGGGGCGCACCGGGAAGGCGGCGGTGTGAAGAAGGTATTGTGGGGAAGGAGGCAACCCCCGTACACACGACCCGAGCCGCGTACGCACTCCGTCCTGGCGTGACCGCGGGGGCGGCGAGCCCGCTCGGACCTCTCCCTCGCTCCGTTCCACCTGCCGCTCCGCTCAGCGACTCGACCGCGCCGCCATCTTGTTGAGGGGATCTCGCGAGAGTAGAGCCTCCGACCAAGCGAGATCGCACAAGGTGTCGCGAGATGGTTACCCCTGGAGAGAGAGAGAGAGACGGAGAGCGAGCGACGGGAAGGTCCCGGGGCTTTGAATTGGTCGATTCTCACCTTGGGCCGAGAAGAAGCTCGTGGCGGCGGCGGCGCCTCTGTCGGGAAAGGACGGGGCCAACCCTGGCAAGTGGCTGGGGAACAGGACACATGAGATCGGGCACATTATCGCTCTTGGGAAGTGAAGGAATTGTATGTAGGGCAGGGCGGGGTCTGGGTAAAAGATGAAGCCATGAAATCAAGAACGGATCCTCATGATTTCATGTGATTTTTACGTGGGACCCTTGACTATCTGCAGTCAGATCATAGATCCCATCTATGCCCACAAATTACACCAGATAAATTGTGGATCCTTTGGTGCTTGACTTTGCAGGAGTGCATAAAACACGGATCTGAGCTACGGATCCACGTGATTTCATGTGATTTTTTTAAATGGAATCTCCTCTAGACCACTGTCATGTCATAGATACTATTTGTGCCCATAGACCACAACACAGAAATCATGGGTCCTTTGGCCCATGACTTTGCAGTGGTGCATAAACAGCAAAGGAAAGGATCTCCATGGAACTGCATGATTTATATGCAGGATGATTCCCAAACCACTGCCCATTTATAGACTCCAGCTGTGACCACAGACTACAACACAGAAATGGACCCGTCAGTGCATGGCTCTGCAATGGTGCAAAAATATGAATACAACCCATGGATCCTCATGGATCACACAATTTTTAATTAGGATCCTCCCCAAACTGCTGACCAGTCATGGGCCCCAGCTGTGCCCACAGATTGCAACACAGAAATTATTTTGCCATTGTGTCAGGATGGAGACCAGCCAGCCCATTTACCTTGGGCACACAATACCGTCCCATGGTGTGCCAGCGAAGAAGGAAATGGAAAATCCCTTCTGAATTTTGCATGCTTAAAGGTCCCTGAAAGCATCACCATACGTCACAATCTATTTGTTGTGATCCACTTCCATGCTATGTAGCATATCAGGCAGCAAGGATTCTCCAGCTCATTCAGTCTTCTGTGTTTCTTTGTCCTCTCATGTAATGTGTAGTTCCCTCTAGTCTTGCATCAGTGTTCTTTGCCCTGTTATTCAAGGGCATCCTGATCATTTGGCTCCAGGGGGTCCAACGCATTGCTATTCATTGCAGTTGAGGATCCAGTTGTTCTCTTTACGAAAAATATGGCCAGCCGGTTGGAGTCTTCTATATGCGACAATGTTAAGAAGTTTGTATGAGCTACTCCTTCAGAGCATCTCCTTGTTGATAATGTGATTGAAATATTGGAGCTTTAAAGTTTGGCAGAGACACCTCTGCTGGAAGATGTCAAGCCTTTTGTTGATACTTGCTGATGCCTTCCAAGTCTTGCTGGCATAAATAGCTGTTGGGATCTCAATAGAGGCAAATAGATGGAGCAGTCTTCAATTATATGGATGGTTGGGAACAAAACTTGCTAATTTTCCAGAAGATGATTATCACCATCCTAATGCATCCACTTAACATCTGCATCTCCATTCTGGGCGATCACACTACCCAGATAAATGAACCTCTCCACTTCCTCTAACTGCTGCTGTCTGAGTACAGTTCCCTGTGTTGGGACCCTGGAGGTAACGTGCATGATTTTCAATCTCGTAACGCTTACCCTGAGGCCAGGTTTATTTGCCTCTTCATCCAGGACAGTCGTGGCATGCTGCAGTTTCAGTTTATCTTCCTCAAGCAAGGTGATATCAGCAAAATCCAGATTGCCAAGATAAAATTGGTTAGTCCAGTGGATGCCTGACCCAGTGCGTAATATATTTTGTCGCATGACATAGTGAAGGGCCACAAGGAAAAGGAATGGGGACAAGATGCAACCTTGTCTGAGCCTGGTGGTAATCTCAAAAAAGTCCATATGGCTATTCTTAATCTTAACACAGCAACTCGATCACTGATACAAGTTCTTAAAAATTGAAACAAAGACTGCTGGTATGCCATACAAAGGGACTCTCAGTGGACACTATTAAAAGCTTTTTTTAAATAGACAAAGTTGAGGCTTCATAGCCACCTAAGGAAGACTACACAAAATGCCTTCCCAGGCACTGAGAGAAGGATGATGCCCTGCCAAATGGTACATTTGGAGATGTCACCTTTCTCAGAGATTTTGACCAGGGGTCTCCAAAGTATGGCCCATGGGCCAGATCCTGGGCTTGTGCACAGACAGGCGAGTGGGAGCACAGGTGGGCATGCACGTGTGTGGGCAGGCAGGAATGCAGGTGTGTGGGTGGGAGCGCATATGCGTGCGTCCTTCAGCCCTAGAAAATATCAAAAATATGTGGTCCTCTGTGAAAATTTTGGAGAATTTTGATTTTGAGAATGGTGCCTCTTCTCCAATCCTCCAGGACTACATCACTTCACCAACACCTGCTAAACAGTTTTGTCAAGTCTTCTGCCATGGCCTGGCCACTTTAAGTTCTCTGCAAATTTCTCATCCAGGCCCGCTGCCTTGTTGTTTTTAAGGCTTCCAGTTGCAATCTTAACTTCTTCAATAGTGATCTTACCAGTGTTCACCCGGAGCTCTTGTTGAGTGTTCTCTTCATTATGGTTATATGTACTGGTCAGGTTTGGCTGGTTGAGGGTTTCCTGAAAATATTCAACCCATCTTCTATTTTGGTCTTCTTGGGTGACCAGAAGCTTCCCGTTCTTGTCTTTGATCAAGACATTAAAGCCCTTCCTCATTCCAGTCAGTTCTTTAATGATTCAGTAAACGCTTTTGGAACCATTCTGATCAGCAGCTTCTTGTGCTTCAGTGCCTTTCCACTCCAGCCATTCTTTCTTATCCTTCCTGCAGCTGTTCTTCACTAACCAATTGAACTCTGTATATTTTTGGCTCATTTCTTCCACTTCTTCTAGATCTTCGGCTTGAATCTGTTTTAGTTTTGTTTTGTTTGTTTTTTTGTTTTTTTTGTCAGTCAATTTCATTCTCTTTTCTTGGATCCACTGTTCTTTCAGTCAACCACAATGTCTCCCCATGATATTTTGGATGCATTCTGTGGTGGTATCTCTAAGATTGTTCCAGAAGGTCAAGGTAATTGTGTATTTCCTGAGCAGAGTGAACAATTGTAGGATTTTTAAGTTTTTCTGTTGCAAACATTCTTTTGGATATGGACTATATTATGATATTAACTCCACCATTGCCAGTCCCATGCCCAGATGAGAAAGAAGGAGGGTTAGGCAACAGACTAGCAATCCATCCCTGTAAAACTAAAAACTGCTATGAAATCAGTAAGAAGAATCTCAAGAATCTACTTGACAGCATGTAATTACTATTAATGTTTACCATGGTGGAAGAAACATGGCCAAATATGTGAATTGTGACTTGGTACTGATCTTTGTGATATTAATTGTAAGACTAGGGAGAACTCTAGAGGTCCATATTTAAAATCTAGCTCTTTATACCATGGCATATACCTGGATGTCAATTTCTGAAATTTGTGACCATTGTGCCTGGATCCATTGGCTTGAATGTGTGCTGCAATTTACCTATGGTGGGTGTGTGGTGTCATAGTTGAATCCATGAGGTTCCATGCATCCAATCCTCCCCCACCCCCAGTGACAGTATCTGAATTGAAAGATTCTTGGTTTCCATTGCATAGTCTATTAGTACCAGTTAGATTTTTATGGTGATGTGTGGTGAGAATCATGGATTTAAGAGGAACAATGCCCCTCATCCATTTCTTTGTTCCTGTTGAGAGTTGTGGGAACTCGCTTGAATTCCACTAAAATTGGGGCGGGGGAGCAAAAAAATGCAGATACACTTAGAAGACAACAAAGCCCGAAAAATACTTCTTAGCTAATCTTTTTCCCTTTTTGCTGGTTGTGTTTAGTTACTCTCTGGGCCCATGACCTGTTGAGAGTTGTGGGAACTCGCTTGAATTCCACTAAAATGCGCAGCAGGAAGCGCCAGCCAGTTGGGCAGAATTAGCTAGAAGTTCCCTTTTACTACCCGCCCCTCACCAAACACTAGCACTTAAAAATAACACTCAGGAGGCGATTTTTTGTATTAAAGAAAGAATTCTATATTCTACGCATATGGATAAGCATTCAGAAGGTTTCAGGTCGATACAGAAAGGAAAAATAGCAAAAAGACAATGTCCTCCTTGGCCCACATGGCTGGAGAGGTCTCCAGGCCTCAAAGAGCCAGCCTGGAGGTGTTACATCTTTCCAGGTGAAGAGCGTGTGCATGTGTGCTAACAACAATGGAGGTTTAAAAACACCTCATGGTGAGAAGGGCCGGAAACAGGTGGAGCTTTCCTAGCCCGGGAACAACAAACTCCCTCTAATTGGTTAGCATGCAAACAAACAGATAAGTTTGTGTGCTGGAGGCCCTTCCCCTTTGAAATTTATATCTAGATTGCTTGACTATCCAACATTTCTTTGCTTTCACTATAAAAGGCATCTGAGATGCTTATGTGTGTGAGGGTTCAAATGGTGTCTCCTCAGGTTTCAACATAGACACGGGAGTCTCTTGAGTTGCAAAATCAAAACTGGGTTTTATTGGAATGTTAAACATCAAATCATTAGTCTCTAACTCCACTCTAACATTGTCTCTCGCAACCAACGGGTCCCACGAAGGCATCCAAATATCTTTGGTGAACAGATTATATTCTAAGTCATTCCAGGGTCCTTTGGTAAAGAGATTACTGCCATCCAAATCCAAAGTGTCTGTCCCTGGGTTTAATAGCGATATGGTCTCCTTGTCTCTCCCCTCAGGATCAAAGAGATTATCTTCTCATAAGGGAGCCCACAGTCCAACAGGAACCCTCTCCGCCGGGCTTCCTCCAGTGGCCATACCCGTCTCTCCCTCTCTTCTCTCTCCACCGCCTCCTTTTCCTCTCGCAGCCTCCAATGCCACTCACGCGCCTCTGACTCCCCCCAATACGAGGGTCATGTGGGAAGACCTTCTATAATCTGCCTCTTTCCTGGGGACCCAGACCTTTTCACACTTTCTGGTCCAGGGATCCTCCACCCATATCATCTCCCAACCCCCGGGTATCTCGTCCCTCACTCCTTTTATATCACCTATTCCCACCTCCACAATGATTCTGCCCCTTCCTTTCCTGCCATTTCCCTCTCAGTTTGAGTGGCTGCCGTCATTTTAGACAACCCCTGTTCTAGCTCCCGA